GAAGCCCCCCTCCCCATCTGGGAGGTGTCCTGTCACCAGTGTGGTAGAAAACAGCGCTCCACACCAGGCCCTCCCCCCACTTTAAAGGACTGGCTGGCTTCTAGAATGATGGGGACTGGCTTGAATAATTTAGATATGCATTAAGCTGGAAGGAAATGGTGACTCATGGAAGAGGAAAAGTTGAAATGCTAAGTGTTTTTTGAGAGTACCGCCTGTTTTTAAGGCAGTGTCTGCAGCTGGCTGCCATGAATGGCTTCCACTGAGCTCATGGTGTATTGATATAAAACATTGCACAAAGTACATACACTACCAAATGCATGTATTTTGTGTATGGTGTTAAGCTAACGGACCTATATTGTGGCAATATGGTAAAACCCACACATTATTTTATCTTATTTATTAGTCACAATTGGTCTGTAACATTGGGAGGGGGAAAAAGCACCGGTTCATGTCTGCTATCTACCCTGTGTAGCTACACAACGCTGTAGGCTCAGTACATAGCAGAGCGCTCTATAAATAGATTTCCCCTACAGCTTGGGAGTCAAGACCAGAGTTAGTATGCGCATTAGTGGGACACAACATGAATGACTACAAGTTGACAGGTAGGAAAAGAATGAGAGGATGAAAACTATTGACCATTTAAAACATCATCTTGTTGTTTTTTTGTTGTTGTCTTTCATTTCATCCCGCATTCACTCACAAGGCATGACTGAGGCTAATGGGAAGCAGGTTAGTAGGTTTAGAGCTAATAATGGCGCTATATGAAAAGTTGGAGGATCAACAGTTCTTTTAATTCATCTTCTGAGGAGCTTGATATTTGTTTATAATTTATACCAATCCATAGTATCGCTGTTCTGACATAACACCACAAATATCAACAGTGGCACAGGAAAAGTCAAGGAATCAGTCAGTAGGGTTAAACCTTTGGGGACCAGGCATGTTTGTACAAAGTGTCAGTCCATCCAAACAATATATGTAATATATTAAATATAATAATGAGAGCTTTTATTCCTCCTCCGACATTCATGCCTGCTGTAATTGTTTTAAATGACCTCGCTCATACAAGAGTACGGAGCAGCTCTCCATCAATTATGCATCAATATGGCCATGAATAAATCATCCAGAGACATTCTGTATGATGGGATTACGCAATTTTTAGGCGTCATGGCACAGTTCATTGCAGCAGCCATGGCCGCAATGGCCATGGAGTTCCGTACCAATGACAACAGGCAAATATTCCATAGGCTCCAGGCAGAACGGACGTGGCCGACTAGTCGACAGCTCAGGGGTCATCACAGTGTAGGAACTTAATGTGCATCCCCTTTGCACCGAACAATTCTGGCCTGCTGAATATCACACTACAGTAATATAGAAGCGTTAATTTCATACTGATTAGCCAGTCCCCTGTGCAATTACAACATTGGACACAATGCTGTATCTCTGACAGTGCTGCTACTTTGAATGGGAGCTGTAGCATTATAACAATATACAGGACTCAGATGGACTAATGTGGTGAAAGTCAACTTGCAACATGTTTTTTTGGTCTTCGTGCATCACTGACTGAGGCTGACATGTTTCACTTGCTCCATTTTGCATGAACAACCATGAGATGAATAATTTAGCATAAGATACCAGGACAAGCATTTCCATTCAGCTACATGTAATCTTACTGTTTCTAGAATACTGAACACACAAAGCTTCCATGATGTCCTGTCACCATCTTGCATGTAAACAGTTTGTAACTAAACCTTAAAAAAAGAAGAGACTTAAAAAAGGTTTTTCTACTTTATTCCCTGTTTGAATTAAGTATATCAATACAAGCAATGTATTTCCAGTCAAGTACCACAGTATTATACCCTCGAAAAGAGTGGTGTTCATTCTCTCTCCGGGGACCTCGGTACTTTAATTCACATGCTCACTGCTTTTACAATCAGCTTGAGTGTCTTTACATGTGTCTGTGTGGGCAGCATGAAGCAGTGGGACTCCACGGAAATGAGAAAGGTGCGTAAATGAGGCAGAGACAAAGCTTTGAGCGGTGCTACGCCGAGATCCCCTACATTCAGATGAACAGTGTAATCACGGCAGGAGGAGCTGGGGTTGGCTCATTACCAGAGGCAGAGGGGAGAGAGAAGAGCAAAGGCAATCCCTTGCTTTCCTCTCTTGCATGAGAACCAGCCGGCTTTGGGGGGAGCGCTAAGCCGTTTCTTCACCTTCCTAGAAGCAGTTTGTGGTGGTAAAATTATTCTTTTAATATCTATGAGAGGGGAGACGCCATCCTGCTTCTCTTCCTACTTCTTCACCACGCCACTCTTGCTTTCCACGTTAACAGGTATCGTGGTCTCTGAGCACTCGATGGCTGGTCGGATCAAAGGAGCCTCCACGGTCAGCACCCCCTCGGGGGACAGGGAGGAGGACACCTTCTCAACGTCAGCCGATGAGGGGAGGCTGGAGGGGACCAATAGAACACAGTTAGGTTTTCAGTTAGTGGCCCAGCCTCTGAGGCGTCACTGCCCCTAATTAGATAGAGAATGACTAAAACATCAACGCTTTAATTCTCACTGCGCGTTGTGGCCCCTGGATGGCAGCAGAGCCCTATAAAGCTAATACAAATATCCAGCTGGAGGAGGGATGAACATTAGGGGAGCTGGAGGCGCTTTAACCCGCTAAGCCGCAGCGATTCCCAAAGTGTGGGCCGCGGCCCCCTGGTGGGCCGCGAAGGTACTGCAGGTGGGCCGCGAGAGGTCATTTACAATAAATAAATAAAAAGTTTTTAATTTTCAATTTTGAAAAGTTTGAAATTAATATAAAAATATGTATGATGCGGCACATTAGTTATGTGAAACATTAATTGAATTGAATTGAAGCACAAACGAACAGATTGATTAATCGGTTGATCCATACTGGTTGCACACGGCGCTCAAGGCGCTCTGCCAAACATGCTAAAGCTCGGTCTACGACGGCGAGATGCTGAGCGGCGCTCAAGCGCGTGAGATATGGAGCTTGTTTCAGGGCGCGTCGGAGAAACAAAGCTGTCGTTCTTGCCGAGCACATAATGAGATTAAAGAGCGAGAGACGGCGCCCTTTTCTTTACAGTAGCTGAACCATCTTAACGGGGAAAATAAGTTATTCTAAAAGGAGCCCTTGGTAGGCGGCGTGGCTGGAGAGCAGCCGAAGATTTAAGGCGTGGATGGCGAGGGGGGCGGCGGGAGCGGACGCACCTCGCAGCATCGATGAGACCCTGAAAGCACCGTCTCCTCCTCCCCACACACCCCATCCACCCGCCCCGACGTCAAATGTTTGACTGCTATGGCGGCAAATCACCAGCCGGTCTGCGAGCTGGACGCATTGGTCTTAATGTGCCGGTAATGATGGTTGTAGCTGGTTGTCATCTACGGTCCACTACGGCTACATAAAGGTGTCGTTTGTGTTTGGACAACGTTTTATCTCATAATTTCGACTTTCTATCCCCTTTCTTCAGTGCGGAAATGAGCTTCTAAAGTTGTGTGAATGCATCGCTCCAGCCAATGCAAAGACGGGGTTTGTAACCAATCAGATGTAGATACCATGGTGACTGGCTACGCCCCCTTACTGTCAGAAAGAAAAACAGCGAGCGCGTAGAAAACTCCTTCGAGCGCGAGCAGAGACTAACCTCGCGAGCAACGAAGTTCACGTTTCGCAAGCGAGCAAATACCTCACTAAAGACAGACTTTTGCTGGCGGATGTTTGATTTACGCGCGCGCATCAACCTGATTTGAGCTCTTGAATTTTGACAGTGATTTGCGCTGATTGACTGCAGTATCTTATGCGCCTTATTGTGCGGAAAACACGGCACATGAGCTCCGGAGAAAATGTATACAAAACATACATTGTCGGTTAATACATTTTGAATCGGTTAAATTCTTAAGGTCATTTAATCATCCCTAGTTTATGTTTTGATCAGAGTTGTGATTAAAGGTTTGGGTGGGCCGCAAAAGATTTTCAGATTTCAAAGTGGGCCACGGCATTCTTGAGTTTGGGAACCGCTGCGCTAAGGACTCGACCAAACCAAAACTGAAGAGACTCACAGAAGCAAAATCATGTGAGGGATTCAGAAATCTGAATCTAGCCAGAGAAATGCATTTCCTCCGTGAACATTTAATCCAAAGCCAAAACCAAAAACCCATTTTAATAACTAATCTGTTATCTGTTACTCTGTAGAGCTGTGGACATGTTGCACGGCCAGCAGCTTATTTTCAATCACACAAATGTGTAAAAGGTGATCAAGCATCCAACTAATTTCAGATGACATCAATTATTCTACAGGCCAATTCTTGACCATGATTGTAAAAACAATGAGCTACTTACGTGTATTTCCTGGTAAAGGTTCTGGACACAAAGCCGTGCTCGTCCTTCCTCTCTTCATGCTTGCCTAAACAAACAGACAACATATGTTTAGCTAAAAGTGCCGCCAATTTAAAATATGTTCAGTTTAATGAGTTATACCCGGAATAATACATTATGTCGGAGCAATTTTGTAATAAGAAACATTGTACGTACAATGAATATTAACTATAACCCCTTAGAAAAATAATTAAATAATTAAAATAAATAAATAAGATTCAGTATTTTAGGGATTGTTAAAGTTCAGACAATGTTTAACTAGTCTTATACTTGTTGCAAAAGTAAAATTACAGATGTATATTATATAATCAATTAGGTGCCTGATTCAAGAATACCAAAAAAGCCACTTCATTGAGTTAGCATGAACCTAGACTGCACTGCAACTAGTACAACCAAATGGAATACTGTCATGATTCATGCTTTGTCTTTAACTGTATTAACCTCTCTCCATTATTTTGATTTAGATACGTAAGAAAAATATCTAAAATGTAGACACAGAATAATACTTTAACATCATTTGGGAAATTGCGTTGAGTTATATGAGATGAAATGGTACCACTCCGTTGTTTGTATGCTAAATATTAAGTTAGCAGCAGGTTAGCTTAGTACATACATTACAAAGGCAACAAAATGGGTCAAGCAGCTGCAGCTCTGAAACTCTCTAGCTGACACGTTATATTCAGTTTAAAATGTACAAAAGGCGAAGTGCAAAAAAGGCAGATTTGGCTAGCATTGCAGTCGGGCTACCTGTTTCTGTGATATCCAGTCTTTAAAGCAGCCCATGACTCTATCTATTATTATTTCGTAGCTTAAGTGTGTTATGTGATATGTGACCATTTCATGGGTCAAGACATGTCAGGCAACCTCACAACTCCAGAAAGTCATGGTGCCTTGCCAGGAAACAGTCGGGCCATTCTAGTCTTTGTGCCAAGTTGTCTCCTGCCTCCTCATTTACTGATTGGTATCAGTATTCCCACCAAGGAAGTCAAAAGGCGTATTTCTTGAAATATCATAGCTTGTTTAACTGTATATCTCTGTACTGTATGTGTTTAAATGACTCACAAACAGCACAATGAATGACTAATATTTTTGGTTTGTGAAGGATTTGTGGTGGTATTTTTTATCTTTGATGTAGTCACAGACGTACCCGTCCTCACAGGGCAGTTTTGAAACATTGCCCTTCATTCCGCCTCTAAATATAGTATTATGTTTGTTATGACAACGGGCTGATAAAGGTTGTTGTCCTCAGGGAGCTGTCCATTAGTGTGCGTCTGGCTGTCCGCTGTTTTTTAGTGTGAATGAAAAGCACTGACAACTTCATCACACATCGGTTTGTACATAAAACTCTTCACGAAAGCCGCTGAGCTTCACTAAGGGATATCTTAAACATCTAAGCCATCCTTGTTCTGAGGCGACATATGAGAAACATGAGGTGGCTGATTTTACTTGGACCCTCTGCTTTGTGTTTCTGTTCCTATCCCCATTCTCTCTCCAGTGAGGCACAGGACCCTGGACACGGACACGACCCAGCGGTCCTTTTAAAGTGGCAAACACACTGGATTAGTCTCGGCTAAATCCCCTACTGTCAGTGAAATGGCCCGACACGCTGGCTGAGATAGACTCATGGAAAAGAGGAGTTCTAGGCCTCAGAGAGCTTCATCATTACAGCGACCCATTCCACATACATCTCCTCAGGTTGGCACTTTTAGCTTTGGTCATCCACACGCGTTGACAGACGTGAAAGCAGCTATTTAATGAACCGGTCCTGCTCATCTGTGAGCTGCTGTAAGAGTTGACCTTTTGAATGTTTGTGTCCAGCAGACGTGCGTCAAAAGCCCCACCCAGCCTCCCGTGTGCTGGAAATCAGTATATTGTTCCAACATATTATGTAACTCTGAAACAATACATGTGCCTTGTACTTGACCTCACAAAAAAAACATATCCTGCCTTTTTATCTTCAGTCGTATTCCACAGAGTTGTCCTTTTTCCGACACAGAAAATTGAGAAACCCACCACGCAAGGCATCCTGTTATCTACTCCTCCGTGTCGTACACAAGAGTATACAACATCTATAAATGTCATTACTTTCTTATTCAACAGAGTTGTCAAATAAAGACTGGCTTTCCCACAGGAAATTACACCCAACACCACAGGTTTCAGGTGCATGAGGTAATGAAAATACCAGGCTACTTGAATCCCAAAGTGACACTTGAGTACAAACAGATATGGGAAGAGAGGGGGGATGAGTGCTCACCAGTGATCTCCACCACGCCGTTTTTGGTCTTCACCACCAGCTCCTCAGGGGAGAAGTGGTTGACATCCAGGGACACCTTCCAGCTGTCTTGGGTCTGCTTGATCTCCGACATGCCCGTGCTCATCTGGCGGGTCAGGGCACGAGCCTGATGGGCCCCCAACAGGGGGGCCGGGTACATCATGGAGGCGTGGGGCATCATGGCGCCCATGGTGCCCATGTCCGGCGTCATCATGGAGTGCCTCAGGTACCCTGGCCAGTGGGTGCTTGGGAATGTGGGGAAATCCTCGTGCAGCGCTGGCATGCCGAAGGTCTGATCGAAGATGCGGCTCTGCTGCCAGTCGCGGAACGGGTCCCAGCTCGGGGTGCGGAGGAGGGCGAACGGAATATGTCTCTCGGCCATGGCTGCTGTCGTTTGGAAAGGAGTGTCGCTGTAACGGAGAGCTGCTGGCTGTAGAAGATGAGCACCTTTGAAAATGTTTTCCCAATGTGCACTCTGCCCCTCAGCTGAGAGCTTTTATACATACGCTGACACCACCCCGGTCAACAGAGCCCTCCCATCTGACTCCCCTTCCAGCCCCCCCACCACCCCCCGGCACATTTTCGGGAGAGTACTAGAATATCTATTTGTGGCAGACGTTGCACTGCAATGGAATCCAACAGGAAGGCCCTCCCCAGTAGCAGCTGCCCAGTGCACTGTTGACACTGTTGTGAATAGCCCCCCCCCCCACCCCCTCTCTTTGGGAGATAGCCGGACGTGCTGCACAAATACCCTCCCTTGGATTAGTTAACACGCTACGTCAAACATGTCTCCTTATAGGCCGTGATGTGATAGTCCAGGCTGCGCCATGCTATTATCAACCTCACATTAAATACACACTGGAAAATCGAGCACACAAACACATTTTAAAAGGGACAACTTTGGTATAATATTACTTCACCAAGTTTCCACATTCACCCGTAGGTCACAAGGTCGGAAAATGACCTTAAGGACGGAAGATGCAGTGTAGGAGCCGAGGGGACAAACCTTTTGATTTTAAAGGTAATCTAGTCAGATGAGTGTCTTTGAAGTTTTTGGCAACACCTGTGTTACTGATATCCTAAACTCAATAAGCTGCTGTGGCACACTGGCACTTTCATGAGATGGTCTTCTTTGGGGAAAGGGCCCCTTGGCCTGTCACCCTGTCACCCTGTCACCCTGCACTTATAGGATCCAGCTAAGACGCGAGTCAGAGGGGTTACAGTCCACCATGGACAGTTAATCCCTTGATATAATAGTACTCTTATGATTAAAGTCTCCGAGGAATAAAACTGAATTGTTGAATTGTTTCTTAAACACCTGAAGCAATACAATAAGGATAAATAAAGATTTTTGTGACACATCTGAAGATTTGGTGTGTGGTATCTTTTTTCAAGAGGAAAAACTATTTATTTATACGATCGGTCTAATAGCTCTATGCTATTTTTATGGTTCTAAGATTCCTGTGTTTTACTGTTATTATATTTCTTATTAATATTAATAATAATTATTTCGTTTTTTATGGCGCTTTTTTATTGCGCCGATGGATAGTACCCAAAGACACTTTACAATGACAGAGAAGAACAAAACCAGGCAAAAAAGAAAGAGAATATTTTTATGACTGTAAAGTCTTGAAATAGTGTCAATACCTTTAGGACATTACTGCAACTTATTACTTATGACAACATCCGAAAATGTACATTTGTCGGTATTCATTTTATGAATTCTAATGATTTGAATGTCTTCAAGGCTCTTTCCTCACTAGACGAGAAGTCACATTACTATAAATTGGTAACTGACTTGCAGACTTAAGGAATGTTTTCATAAAGGGCTCAACTTGCACGCCCTCTAACACTAAACAATTTGACAATGGGAGAGAACTACACCACTATGGAATTTGCCTGGAGTGCGCCTCAAAGTCTCAGAGTGTGGATATTGGGATTGAAATTTGGCCCCAGTGTCCCCACTATGGCCTCAAACCCTGAGCCCTCAGCAACTTAACTGAGAACACCTGTGAAATGATTGAGTGTGAGAGGCTGCAAGGCCTTGAAATAGGGTAAATGCCAATGGGACAGCACTTTGCTACAACATATCTCGTTTCTATGACAACGTCGGAAAACATTATGCGCAATTGTCAGTAGTTTTATTATTTTTTACTGATTTAATAATCTTCTTGTTGTTCTTTGTCCAAACAGTTTCTATAACACAATTATAAGTTGTATTGGGTCACTTAATGCACCTAATGGGAGTCCGTCTTCAAGTCTGTGACTCATTTAACTTATTTTTGGGCAATTATACACGTATATATATATATATATATATATATATATATATATATATACATACACATACAGGTGGACAGCACAGAGTCACTGTGGTACATTGATGTGGCACTTTCTGCTGCAGCCATGTAAGCCGCAGCTGTTTCCGATCCCATATATTTACAATAGTCTCCATATCACAGCAGATGTATTATCGTGTTGTCATCACCACATACCTCTGCAGTGATACACTGTGCAAATGTCATCACAGCATTGTTAATGGGCACAGTCCTCAAAATAGACTACAGCCTCCCTCAGTACTGGTTTGAGTGCAAGTTGCAGTACTTCGGGAGAACTGGAGAACATTCAGACCCATTTTGGAATCTGATGCTGTCATTCAGGAGTATGAGGTACGAGAAAGTTCTCAACAGCGCGATCTGGAGGGAAATATATACGCTTGACATCATATTACTGCACTTGAAGTGAGAACGGAAAACACAACATGAGAGTATAATTACTTCCCCATTTGTTTCTGTTTATTGTCAGGGATAATAACTTGTACATTACAAAGAAATTACTTGTAGAGCCAAAGGGGCAATGCTATACTTGGAATAAATGAATAGGTTTGCAGAGTATCATAGTAGGGTTGGGTCTGGTTACACTGGGAATGCAACACTGTGAACAAAATGAGGCCAGACAAATGGAAAAGGAAGACTTTGGGTGATCCCTGATTGTATCGCCAGTTAGTTTGCCTCAACACCGAAGCTGTAGATAGAGGAGTCATTACAGAGCCTGCAGTTGTCTCTGCAGGCTAAGTTACATCAATATATTTTCCTCCTGAACCAGGGCACAGAAACATGTTACGGTCCAATATACGGCGGATCAGAATACGCGGTGGACTGAGACATGAAGTAGAGTAGGATAATGGATCCTCTTTCATGGCTGATCCTTCCCTTCCTCGGTAACAGGAAGGACTCATTATGTTTGTGGCAGAAAATTTGATTCCACCACAATGGGGGACCGTGGGGAGATTAATTTGAGCAAAAGAATCCCCTCCCACTGGGTACAATCAGAGCGTATTCAAACACACAGTGGGTGCATCTTCACCCCTGTACACTCATCTGAGGGCGACAGCGAGGTCTCGCCCACAATTATAGACTATTGGGTAAAATAGGTAGCGTACAGTACGGTTTCTAAATGGGAATACATTTGCATCACAATCTCATCCTCAAAGCATGATCCAATTGCTTTACTGCTCATGGCAAAAACAATGATAAATAAATAGTAATAAATTAGATCATAAATAACCCAATAATAAATAAACAAATAAATACAGTAGTAGTAGTTTGCATGGAGACTTTTTGCAGACAGTTTTCTTGTACAGTACCACAGAGCAGCTGGTGCAGTGTTAGTTACCTCACTGGTCATTGCAGAGGAGGCAAACACACACTCACACGCAGAATCAACATGATAATTTAAACAGGGAGGAGTAATAAAATTACATAATAAATAGACCCCTCCACCACCCCCCACCCCACCCACCCCCATCCCGTTTACCTGTGTGTGCAGGTGGCGGACTTACTGTACAGGCCAGCGGGGAGCACAGATGCACCCTGACACCTTTCACGGCGGCCAGGGACTCTCCTTCAATCAGCAAGAAACTCCTGTTGTGTCATGCTAAACAAACCTCCTCCCACCAGATGGAATATACAGTGCATAGTTTACAAAGCCGGAACTTAAGAGACTTTACGTCTATACAGACAAACCTATACAATTTGAATCCTTATTTTTTTGCTCACTATTTCATCATCCAACTTTCTCTTTTGTTCTAACTTCTGTTGATCTCTGCGCTTCAATGGAGTGGAAGTCATTGGGGAGATGAGTACACTGAAATGTACAGCAAGCCGTTTATGTGTCTTCTTTTTATCTTCTACTCAGCTCCTTTTGTTAGGATATATATATATATGTATTTTGACAGTATATAGTTTTTTAATGAATTCATTTTTGGTTGCGTTATGGAAGAAGAGAAAGAAAGTGTCATACACATACAGCGAGATTTGTTCTTTGGGCTCAACCGAAAAGTATTATTCCAATGCGTGGTGAACCATTTTCATTTAATACCTTGTTAACGTGAAGATAGTGAACAGCGACGGCCAATATCATAGTAATGTGCAATTTCTCCTCTTCAATTTCGGGCTCTGTGTTTGGAGAGGGATAATGGTCTCGGAGCCAAGGGGTGTGGGGCCAAGGACTGTACAGCCGCGCGCCGCTTTGTGGGGAGCCCGGTAAAGATCCCGACCCAACCAGAGCACAGAAAAACGTATCAGCACTCCTCCGCGTGTCGCGCTCAGAAGCCGGGGCTGTCGTAGCTGCTGCGGCTGTAGTAGCTGTGGTGGCTGCGGGAGCGACTCTTGCTCCGGCTCCAGCTTCGACTCTGGCTGCGGCTGCGGCTGCGGCTCCAGCTCCGGCTTCTGCTGTGGCTCCGGCTGCGGCTGTAGCTGCTGTAGCTGCGGCTGGACTGGGACGGGCTGCTGTCGTAGCTGGACGACGAGGGACTGGGCCGGTAGTACGGTATCGGCCGCTTCCGAGCACTGGAGAGAGGGGAGAGGATGGAGGATGTCACCAGTTTGGCGTGGTCATGGTCTTCGCCTGACACTGGTGTTAAGCACATGATGTATTAAGATTTGGTGGACTGAGAGAAAATCTGTGTTAGGTTACAGGAGAACAGGGGGGGGGATTAATGACCAGAGCAGGATCTGAAAGAGAGCCGCTCCATGGGTTAGAAGTTATAAGTCCAAGCTCTTTAATCACACACCCGCACACTTGCATGTCGTTAGTTCAAGCGGAAGCGCAAATCTTGTTAAAAGTCACCCTGGAAGTGTTTCCTGTAAGGTAGTTAATGGTTAGTTCCCAAAAGCACCTCATCTTCTCAGTGGAGGCCGGCACCCAGAGAAATCGCAGTGTCAACAGTGTGGGGAGAGATAAATGCTATCAAGGTATCCCTGCTGCTACAAGGCGTGTTTCACCTTGTCATTTCAGCGGCATCTAGATAACTCAGTCTAAGCTTTTGTCTTCTGTATCTGCCTTGGGAATCCACAGTCTGCATGGTCGAGATATCCTCTAAAATAAACCTTGATAACATTTTAATCTCTCCGTGTTACAACATTAGTGCAGAACCGCAGAGGGGTGTAGCTTTAGAGCCGCTGGGATTTTCTTAGTGTCAATTTGAATATGAAGCAGCAGCAGAAAGGGAACATAAGAAAAAAACATGAGGAGACCACGTTTACTCAGAGGTGCTCTGATGGTTTGCTGTTCAGCCCAGCTTCAGTAGTGGGACTACTAGGATCCTGCTGCGCGGCAACCGTTACCGAGGAAACTAGCCTGAGGCGGCTCAGTTGAACAGCATCCCGTCCGTCTGGGCAGGCAGGGCCCTAAGGACTGGAGTGGAAGATGACAAGGTACACACATTTCACCCATGTCTGTAACGATTGCATGAAGGAAAGAGAGGGGAAGTGACACAGAAACTCATCTAATAAATAACAACCAACCACTTATTTCAAGAGCAACAAGGCTAGATAAATCTACACAAGACAATATCAAGTGAAAGTTAAGCGGTGATTGAAAATGTTTTGAATCAAAACTTGATGGCGAGTTATAGATATGTTATCTGTACGTCAAACGTCTTTTTGAGCAGACGGGAGGATACAAGACAGACATCTGCTCTCAGTGTAGCCTTGTGTATGGTTAACGTGTATGGTTATTGTTCATATTTATTGGAACAATAATACAATACAAATAAATATGACAAGCTGTTTCCAAAAGAACAGTGTGACGGAGAAAGGAACAAGCTTAAATAAGTCAATAATCAATAGTAAAGGCAGTAAAAGACAGGCCTCTAACAAGGTAAGACCACACGTTTATAGGGTTATTGCTATGATATTGCAGTATTTTCTTTTACTCTATAAACAATTAAATGAACCTGGGTTGTTTTTTTTTAAATGTTCCATGTGTGGAAATGGAAATGCCCCCTCATTTAATTTTGTTGTAGTAATTTGCCGCTGTAGAAGTGGAGGGTTTGCTCCATGGGTGCCCTCCACTCCAATTAAACAATGGGAGACATTTTAACTGCAGAGAGCAACTTACCTCTGGCAAAAACGTCTGTGCGTTAAAATGCTGTCATTTCCAGACTTAATAATGATCCCAAAGTGAAAAAGTGTTTTTGCTGGAAGAAAGTCCACACAGCAGAGAAATCTTGACAACACACCAGAAGTAAGTTTGTGATGCTGGTCGGCTCAGTTACCTGGTGATCCTGCGAGCCTCCATGAAGCTGGGCGAATCCCTTCTCCTTTTGCGGATTGGCGAGTAGCTGCGTGAGCGGCGGCGAGCTCGGCTGTCGGTGTCGGATTGGTTTGGGCTTTCCCTCTCTCTGCGCCGCACACGCACACACACGCACAGACACACACACACACACACACACACACACACATAATGGCTTAGGAACAGCGGCAGCAAAGCGCATTACAAACAGTGTGATGGAGAAAGGAAGCTTCACCTGGAGTTGTTCTGTCTGTTGTGTGGGGACTTGGCCTTGCTGGGCCCTCTGTCTCTGGAGGCGGAGCGCGAGGACGAGCGCCCGCTGCTCCAGGAGCTGCTGCGCTGCCGGAGGTTGGATTTCCCCCGGGACTCGTCTTTCTTCCTGCCCGACGTGTGCGGATGGCCTCCCGGAGATGCCGACAGACTCCAGTGGAGGGTCTGTATTTCGATTGTATTGTTGGTGCCGCTTTGGAAGAGTGAACCACTTTTGTCCTGGGGTAGTGGGCAGACGTCAAAGACTTGTCTCTCTGTGGCACATATGAAGTGGAAGAATGGGGCAGTAGTGCAGCGAGAGACAAACTTACTTTCTCTGACGGCGAGAGGTCCTCCCTCTGCGGGCGTGGTTGTGCTGGGAGTGGGCCGAGTCGCTGCTGTGAGCAGGGGAGCGGGAGGTCTTATTGTGGCCTCTATGGCTTCCTCTCCTCCCCGTCGCCTTGGTTACGGAGGTCCCCACATCGGTGTTCCTGCCAGCCACGCTCCCGGCCTCTCCTGCTGCGCACATCTGACCCGTTTGGCTCCTGCTGGGGGCGCTGTGGAGCTTGTGCTCTCCCAGCAGAGTGGACTGGATGCTTGCAGAGCTAGCGGTCAGCAGACGGAGCTTCTGTAGAAAATAATTATGACCAACAAAGGAACAAAAAGAAAAAAAGAAGAAGAAGAAAGAAAGCAAAAAAGAAAAAGGACAAAAAGGGCATTAGAGTGTTCCCAGTTTGGTGATTGAGTGCTACGATGTACTTGCCAAAAGAAGATAAACATCTAAAAGAAAAAAGGTCTAGGTTTTCTCCATATGGTTATAGATAGTCCTCTATGGTGCAGCGCATGCAATACTTGGCATGCAAAACCATAGTGAGTTAAAGAAATCATAATCGCAAAAACAAACAAAGAAACTAGGAGGAGGAGGAAGAGAGGGGAAAAAAAATAAAAAACTGTGAACCAAATAAGTTAAAGAGCAAAGGCAGAAGGTACAGAGCTATAGATTTTGTAGTGTAGAAAAAGAGGACTTCTTCAGTTTTTTGTATTTAAGAAAATAATGTAGTTATGACAAAAAAATGAAACAAAACAGAAAGAGAAGACAACTTGACGGAACATCACAGAAATGGAAGGAACAAAATAAAGATCACAATTATTGAATCAATCGAATCAGAAAAACAATCGTCTGCTACTCAATTTTCTCTTTCTGGATTTTTTTTTTCCTGTAGACAATTTCTGAGACGTGAACAGCGACCCATTTTCTTTGTTTTTTTCAATGGTTACTCTTGTTTAACTCCCTTCTGGTTAACATCCACTTACCAATAAAGTGGTATTCCCTCCTTTAGTAGGTAAGGTATGAAGAAAAGGGAAAAGTGGGGCAACATAAGTGCATCATTAGATTCACAAAATGCAAGAGAAAAAGACACAAAACCCTTCCCTGCCAGTGACTTATGAGACAATGCATGGAAATCAATGGAAAATAACTCAAAAGCAAAGAGGAAATCCACAATGTGCAGGGAATCCCTCACACAGAGTAGATCCTCTGGGCCCAACCACCTTCCTAAACATCAGAGAACAACTGGCTGGCGAGAGTTTGAGGTATTTTCTTCACCCTTTTTCTCTCCATGCTGTATCCACCACAGGGCAGGTGTTATTGTAACTCCCGACACGTTTACAGGCTACATTAACTGCATTTGCTTCTACTGGGTACAATAAGCGTTTGTGCTGACGGCCTCCCTAAAACAAGCACCTACAGTTTCCACAAGAGACAACTTATAACTGTTATGGTTCAAGCGAGTTGTTGCTACATATAACAACAGTGAGCCTTGTGCTGATGTTAGCTTGGTTTCAACCACATTTTATGGCATTCAATGTTCATTTTTAGAGTGAGATAATAATGTATAAACCCCAGAAAGTGAAATGTCAGTAAAATTGCATCTAATTTTTAAAACCTAAACAATGTGATTTAATCCTTTAGGAATTTAAAGTAAAAAGCTACTTTTAGAGTCACAAAAGGGCTCAGTTACCTTGAAGCGAAACAATTTCCAACCCACCAATGTCTTAAAGGATAAGGGAAGAAATATTCTGAATTTACTTATTGTGGTTTATTTTACGACAACTCACAAAGACTTTCCTTGTGCTGTAAAAACTCACTAGAGCAATGTGTATAAATCTGTTTCTGTTTCAGATGCACCATTGGCTTCTACTGCCCAGATGTTTCATCATAATACCTTACACAGAATAGTTTGACTCTATGTCGGTTGGTCGCCTGGTCCACTTTTGGTCTAGACTGAAGTATCTCAAACTGTTGGATAATTTGCAGTATAATTTAATACCAACATTCATGCTTTCCAGAGGATAAAACCCTCTGACGTTAGTGACCAAATACCTGCAAGACTAAACAATTTCTGCCTCACCTGTATTTTGTGTTTGGTGTGAATTACCTAATTTTAGGATGTTTACATGCAAAGCTGACATAGTCAGAAATATACCTGTATAACATCAGCATGTTAGCATTTTTAACATGTTAGCATGCTGACGTCAGCATTTAGCTCAAAGGGCCGCTTTGTTTAGACCCACTGAGCCACTTGAGTAGGCGTAGACTGTCAAGTAACAATATACGGCCTATTTGTGAATACTTTTTCAAATTGTACACCTTCAGTGTTAACAAATATTGCTAATAGAGCCGATAGTGAAGTCGGAAGGTTTACAGACACGTCAAACCAATGCTAACCTTTTTGGCGGATTTGTTCATAGAAAGAAAAAACGTGTAGTGAGTAACCTATAACCTATAACCTGAGTATCATGTAGAGGGAGAGTTAAAACATATCCGTAACCTGTATTTTGAGCATTCAATAAAAATAGAAATTGTACGAGTGCTTGGGTGGGAATCAGGGGCTTAGACTTGTGATGCAGTTATACACTGCTCATTGTAAGCAGCTCATACAAAGAGAGTAAATCTCCAACAGGCATCTTGTTGGAAACCAAACACAGCCGTCTCTTTCGCATGCATTACAATGTGCAGTCTGAGCTGCTTCGTAAGCTACGGTACAACAAAAGCACCGACTGGTCGCAGCAGAAAGAAGAGCCATTACCACTACAGAGAGGACGACTAAGCGGTATAATAAGAAGACACACAACCACTGGTGCTCATGACAGTTGTTGGAAACAGTCGTGAAAATCAATATGGTGAAAATCATAAGACGGATGTACTAATTCACCAACAACAGAGAGATGCTGGACAAACAGGAATGCATTCTACCAAAACAGAAAGAAAACAAAACTGGAGAAAGAAATGGACCTGGAAGATAGAGCGGGATATTGGACTTCAGAATGAAGTTAAGGAGAAAAGAGAAAAACCCAGAGCTCTACGTAATCCAATCATAATCGATGACGTAAAATCAATTTGGTTAGAGATTTGGTAAATAACAGAGAGAGAGAGAGAGAGAGAGAGAGAGAGAGAGAGAGCGAAACATTGACGTCACTCAGGCTAGGGTGCTTGTCACATTCTCATCTGCATAAAGATCACGTGCGTAGGCAAAGCGTTACCTACCTTCCATTTCAATCAGTGACACGTATGCAATATCAACAAAAAATAGGAAAGAAAGAAAAAAAGAAAAAGGGAGAAAGGAATGTTCTCCGCAGCGAAATGGGAAAAAGACAATGACCTCTTTTAGTATCAAAGCTACATATTGTGTCCACAGAGAAGGAGAAATAAACAAACCAAAAAGTACAAAGAAAATAGAGGAGGGGGGGAGGACAAAACAAAAAAAATCCAGATGGAATTTAAATCAAACTAAAATTAGAAACAAAGTATGAAATCTATAAACTACATGATGTGCTTTGTCTTTTTCGCTTGTACAAATGCAGCCATATTTGTATCAAAACTGGGGTGGGAGGGGTGGGAGGGTCGGCATAGAGGTTAGCGGATCGAGTTAATTGTCATATTAGTGGACATCCAGGTCGAGTACAGTAGAGCTATGTGAGGAAGGGAGAGGGAGGAGGTGGGAGACATGCAGAGCTGGCAGATGTGAGAGATACGTGGGAAGAAAAAGGCCAGGACAACAAGAGGATGAGACCTGAGACACATGGCAGATGAACAGGTTGGGGAGGAAGAAGAGGAGGAGGAGGAGCAGGAGGAGGTAGGGCAGAAGAGTGCCAGAGGGACGGTCACCGCTAAAATGGACAACTAGAGAGCCAGCACATTCGAAAGGGACCCCAGTCCCATTTTGGCCCGGGTCTTCCTCAGTATAGCAACACATCTCTGCTCTTAAGAAGTCTTCCAGCTGACTTTGAGGCAATCTGTTATTATTTATAATCTGTCTATTTATCACTGTAAACACAGGTGCAGTGAGAGAAAGAGAGCCGAAGGAACTCAAATCTGTCAAATCTGCTGTTTAAACGGTTTGCGTCATTGTGTGTGTGTGTGTGTGTGTGTGTGTGCGTGGGTAACTTAAAAATGGCTTGGGTCCCTTTGTGTTAGCACATGTGTGAGTTGTCCCAGTTATTTTTAAAGTGGTCCATGTACGTGTGTTTGAAGTGTTTGAAGCGATCCATCAATGACGAGCAAGAGGACGACTGGCCCGGTCTGGGACTGGCTCGTTCACCGAGTAGGAGACAGTCCTGGATGCTTCCCGGCTGTGCGCTGCTCTTTATCAGACTTTTGGAGATGTTAAGCGCTTGTATTTACTAAAGCGGCCGAATAGTCCTCATAACATACATCAGGAAGCACTTGATATTAAGATCAATCTCCTCATTGTGCAGCTTGTGCAAGTCTACTTTGACTAATTCAGTTGCAGTTTTCACACGACAGGGTTAGCTCGAGCCTGGCCTGTTGATTTGGTAGCATGTTTACTGCTCTGTACTAGTACTGAGCAGGGGTTCGACAACAAAGTTTGCATTTAAAAAGAGAAAATGTTACAATAGAAGGCAGTCGTAGCGGCCAGGTGCCATATTATGACCAAAGATCTAAGATGACGCTAACAAAATGGCTGACACTGCACTGAACGCAGATACAGCGCGATGAATTTCTGGAGTTACGGTCATACCTCAAAATTGACGGTGGATTTTTTGCCCCCATTGGTGAATTGGAGCAGTCCTTCGAACCTTTAAGGCAAACTCGTACGAGCTGCACAAATGTGAGATTTATGTTTTCATGAAAACATTTTCAGTATTTTAACAAGGCTTTGAGGAGAAACTCGTTTTAGCAAACACATTCTCCGCCTGAGATAAAAAGCAGTGCACAGGGTCTGGTCCTCTCGTGGGAAGCGTCTGGGAGTGTGCCCCACGTCGTGAATGAGACCGTTCCAAAACGAGGCTAGAGGACAACTACAAGAACACAAACTGAGATGAAATATATACACACCAAGAGCTGCTCGACATTACATTTGCTAAACCACACAACTGCTGCAGTAAAGTCAAACTCCAGTGGGATCCAGGATCTGTCACACGTAACCATCCCCGTGCAGAGATTTCAGTTTGGGGGATTATCATAAAAGAAGTATTTTAGCTTTTGGTGGAAATTAACAAGAATGGCACTATGGCCTTGTGCTGCACTGATGCTGCTTATGAAACGGGTGAGCCAGTTAAATGCTCCCCTCTCACCAGGTCCCAACTGAAGGGCTCCAGCGTACATGATCAAACAGACCTCCCTGGCCATTCTCCACTGGCCCGAGCCGATGGAGTAGAAACACCAACGCCAACGACATAAGAGACACTGCCACCTACAGGGGCAACATGCACGTCGACATGGTGGAGTACAACAGTAGAGAGAAGCATGTGTTTAACTCCTGGTGACTTGGCAGGAGCTGGTGGACGCCTGGAGGAGAAGAGGATCTATCACTGAGCAGAGCATGTGCTTGAGAAAAAGACAACTGTATTGACAAGAAGAAACTATTACACATACCCAGTTAACCTACTTGGTCCGGTTCCAAAGCATTTGAGTGCTTTTTATATAAACGAGACAGAAAGATTTGGGCATTTATTCATGGGTAAATACCACGCAATACTTTTGATAAGGAAAAAAAAAGACAGTAAGGAATGAAATAAGCAGAGAAAGAGAGAGTGAGACTGAGAGAGATAAACCAGATAAGACCTCATAGATACATGCAAGCGGGAGTAGAAAGTAGAAGACACCCTTTTTTCTGGAGTTATTGCAGCTCATGTAGATGCTTATTCAACAGAGAAAGATTTTACAATCAATCTCTATTGTCAATCGTAAGTTTCTGTGGTTTTACTCCAAAATAATCAACCATCATCCTGCTGCAGCGCTGATGATCTATTTACCGTATTGAGTAGTGAGGTTATTTCCATAATAGCAGGAAGGGATTTATAAATCAGTGTCTTATAGGCAATGAGAGAAGAACAGAGAGGCTTATTATCAGAGCCAAAGAAATCCAAATCTAGGAGCAGCTCCCCAGGACACATGTAGAGGGGAATATATATGGTTTATAACACTTGTGGGCTATTATGGTTATTGTGGACTATATGTGGAGGTTTGTTTTAGGATTTGTATTAGTATTAGGGTTCCTCCTGTGTTGTGGTTTTGAATAAATGACACAACATCGTTGATATTGGAGATTTAAAATCGGATCGGACAAAGAAATACATTTAAACACAATAAACATTAACTTAGTCGTAATCAAATTAAATCTGTGTTAAAAGGACAATTATTTAGTGCTGTTGACTTTGGATTGAGCCACATTGTGATTTTGTTCCTGCTGGATGTGTGATGCATTTTAATTTCTAATGAGGAGCAGTGTGCACGGCTCAGTGCTGGCAGGTCTATGCTGCTCTCTGCTGGACTACACTGAAAGGCAATACACCACTGCAATTTGTTTTTTGTGCTGTGATTAGATTCTAACAAAACAGCAAAATGGGAAATACAACTTTCATTTTAAAATCGAGTAAAATATTTATCAAGAACTTGCTATATAAATATATCCGATCAAATGTGATTTTGGAAAAAATAGCTGACCAGCACTTGACTGTTAACTTGTAGGTGCAATATCTCAAAAGGAGGTGTGTTTGGATTTCAGCAGGAAAAAGCATTGTTTTTAATAATTGTTTTGTATTTAACCATATCCTTTACCCTGTTGAAGTTAATTTAATATTCTTAATGTAATATTAATTTCCTGTTGAAATCTGTCACAATACAGAAACTATACAGTATAGATGGTCTTTTTTCCTTTTCACTGTCGCTCTTATAGTCATTAACAGCGTTATCAGACTAAAAGTAGTATATTTTCCCTGTTTAATTTTAATTTGAAATCTTAAATATGGCCCAGTACGTAGCTGAAAATGGAGAAATCTAGTTTGCAATAATCTTTCTTTGCATGCTCTAATCATGTGTTTTCATTGGTAATTGGATTTGTCCTTTCCAGGAGAAATCGCTGATTGTTATCACATTGAAGGGCCCTCAGACGTGTAATTGGGACCCTTGTAAAAATGTCTGATTACGACTTTATCCACATTAAAACGTAGAGGTTGTCACTCCCAATAGACACATCTGTGTATTGTGTATTTTTATGATGCCTTAGCAGGCACCCGCTTTGAAGAAACACATCTCTTTGCTCTTTCACTGGGAAACATGTTTGGCTCATATTTCCATCCCAGGTGTGATGTGCAATTGCTGCGTTGCACAGAAACCTTGGAACCTCTGGCAAATAACAGGAAAAAAACCAAAAGGAAAAACAGGATGGCAGAGAAGTCAAAGAGAACCAGAAACAAAGCAGCAGGAGCGGCAAGTTTTTAGTCTTTTACACGTCCAAAAGAATAATATAGTAGTGAGAATATAGTGAGAATATGAACTTGCCTATAACCCAGGAACAGCTGATAACAGAATGAAAGAAAATCTTTCAGTATCAAGCATGGAGATAATTCATGTCAACCAACACAAAAGGGAGCGAGGTAAAAGTCATCTGTAGAGACTGTGGCAGATACCGTGATACCGGGAGCGGGGGAAGAGGGGAGGAGAGGGGGGGGGGGGTTGTGGGAGCAAAATAGAGGAGATTACATACATCGTGACCTCTCTCGCCCTCGCTAGGGTTGAGTCTGCCGGCCTTGCCGTTGCGGCTCCGCTGGGTGTGGTCCCCGTTGTGCCAGGAGGCGGGAGCATTGTTGCCCGGCGACAGCGAGGCGCCGGACGCCTTTTGTCCATCCGTCTTGTGCTTGGAGTTCAGCCTGGAAAAGCAGAGTCACACAGCGACGCGGTGGGTAAAGCACAGCCAAAAGGAAGGCTCACACAGTGTTGACCACCACATATTGATGAACGTGGAAATCCTTCACTTTCACTTCCGCTCGAAGCAAACTTCAAGATAAATGATATTTATCTAGTTGCCTATGCCTGAAGCTTTGGAGCGACTATACTCAACATTACTGGCCGTGATGAAGATTGTAGCTGAATCAATATATATAGTTCTCCTGAATAAGGCGGTTCATTTTTTAGATTTGACAGAATGGTACACAACGTAGAACGGGAATAGAGCCACTTCATCGTCTTTGTCTGCACTGTCAATGTGGTTACGACGCTCTCTGGTTCCTCCAGCGTGGCTTGACTATCAGCAGCAGTTTATTTCCTGCTTCAGGGTAGTTTTGTTTCCATTTGAACTAATTTCCTAATCATTCATCTTTATATCATAAAATTTGATTGAAAACAGATTTTCATATACTTTCACATTTTCATTGCTACTGTAGATTCGATATGAGGATCCGCAGCAGAAAAATGTACTTTGGGGAGGGGAGGGTAACTATCAATTTAGGAGTGTATTTGGAATATTTAGCTGACAGAGAGACGGTGAACTGAAGCCATTATCTATGCTATAAAACACCAGAGTCACACACCATGGAAGGTGGAGGCCGTGGGAGACCACAAGGTAAAATAATTGCTTCTTTTAAAGGAGTCTATTGACTTTGAAAAGAGCATAGAGGGGTTAGAACGTCTTTAGTTCATTGTTACAAAAGGGCCTGCTGAGGTGAAGGTGAGGCGTTGAAAATACTCCATATATTGCTGATATGGATGTTATGGATTTTTCAGCTGTCTTAAATACATTTGGTGGCTGTCCCAGTTTCCACCAGTACGCTGCTTTACTCCAGTGCTGCTTCTTCTGTCTGGTTCTTTAAATTGGGGGTGTCACCTTCTCAAGGTAATACACTTAATACATCCCCACTTGAGAAAATCTGAAAAATCCCTCATATTTAGCAACAAATCAATCAATAGATTATACATTTGTGACCTTTCTCCTTGCTTTAAGTAAGATGCTTAATAATTGTTGTATTTCGTTCATGTTTTAAGGGAGGAGGCTGCGGTTGAATAAAGATTTTCAATGTAATGGCTGAATATTTAGCTGATTGTAACAAAGTGGACGTGATGCTAGATTTAGACACAACAAAAAAGGATTGAATGAAACAGAAGAGAAAGAAATCGCTTTTATTTTTTTCTAGGTACTTTCTGTAAACCCTTTTTAGTCCGTCAGTAGCAAAAACAACAGGGAGGAGTTTGCTATCCTGCAGCGCTGTGCTTCAATTCTGGACCAATTTCAGAGTATTGGTCCCATTTGTCACTTTGACTCAAAACCATAAGGAAAATACCAGTGTTACTCTTTAAGGGGGATTAATTGTTAGTTAATTGTGAAATAATACTTCACTGTTAAAATAACATTATTCTTATTAATGAATTATTATTAACACAATATTCCACCATTTGCTTGGCTTGTTTAGAGAAAGAATAACTTCCACTCTAACTACGGCAGAGTGGAAGTCGTATTAACTGCCCCATTGTTATTTAACATGTTGCAACAGAAAACAAAAACACAATGAGCTAGGATGTCAGCTAGAATACTAAAAAATAACATTATGTCCAAAACCAGAACCCCAAACACGAGACGTACCATATAATGACAATCAGTGTTACCCGTGCAGAGCAATACCACAGCCATTTGTCGGGGTTTATTATAAGAAGCCCACTGGCATCCTAATGAGTCTCCACAGCTAGCAACAGCTAGAGGAGCAATACCAGTGTGGGACGACACAAAGCCGAGGTGTTTGTACGTGTATGTGTGTGTGTGTGTGCGTGTGCGTGTGTCGAGGAGTCTACCTGCCGGGAGATTTGGAGATGCTCCGTGTGGAGGACAGGGAGGCGCTACGGGAGCTACAGCAGCTGCCTTGACGCTGTGAACTCCTACTGGGGGTCTCACCGGGGGACCTGACGGATGACAACCAATGGACGCACACACACACACACACACACACACACACGTACATGTTCACATAAAGCCATGTGTATGTACGTAGACATCACCGGAGCTCAGTAGTCAATCTCCTGATATCTACAGTTCACTTTTCTATATCTATTCTAATGAAGGCGTGACGCACAACGCGCTGCATGCTAAACCTGTTGGGAGATGCTCTCCGTGCGTTACCGCGCGGCTATTTGCATTCGCTGTGCGTCCGAGGCTAAAATACCGATATAAATGTATGAGATGCTGAACGTGATTCCCATTAAAAGCCCGTTGTTGAGGACAGACACTGAGAAGATATTGTGCTTATTCTGACACATCGCACACCGTAGCACAAACTGATAACGGCTCACACGCGGTTCTTTCAGCTCAACATTAACATGTAAATGCCAGAATCATTTCCATGTGCGTCTCACCTCTTTTTCTGTTTGTTCTTGTCTTTGTGTTTGTTCTTTGAGCTGCCCGATCTAAAAACAAATGCGGTGCGTAAGATAACAAGGCTGTGCACTTTCAAGCATGGGAGACACGCATTCACACCCTTTAAAAACAATTAAAAAACAAATAGAGGAAACTCAGTGTACCACTCACCCATAAGGATTGCATTGTCTTTTGAACAATCAGTAGGCAGAAATGACAACACACACCGTACACATATTATGAGCGTTATAAAGTATTGTGTTCTTTTGTCTTGATGCGTACACACCTGTGTCTCCTCTTTTTCCTGGAGCCAGATGCAGATCTATAAAGATCAAAAAAAGGAAAATCCTGCAATGATCATAATGACTCACAATTTTTTTTTTTAAGTATTTAAATGTATTTTTCCCCAGGCCCCCTCCCTTGCAGTCGTATCAACCGGATAAAAGTGTGCAGCAGGGAGCCTGTCCCAAGACGCAGGTCTACTGAGTAATCTGCTTAACCCTCCCGGACAGAAAAAATAAGGAAGAGGGTATTTTTACATCCACGTGTCCATGTACCAGATTCTGTGTGGTTCAGGGAATTACTAAAGTCGCTTCTTGGAAGACATTCTAGGACATCGTAGGTATTTTGGACAACTGTTTGAGGTTGAAGCAAAAGTATATTCTGGGCTGTGAGCCGCATTTTAATTTCCTTTAAAAGAAATGTTTTATATATATAAATATACATTTTCACACCTTCAACACCTCCAAGGAATATTGAAACTATGTTAAGTCTATGAAGGCGTGAAAGCTTCCCAAGCAGCAGCGACTCATTTAGAGTATCCAGATCATTCCTCCTGGAATTGTAAATGTGCCCTCACATATTAAAGCAAATGTCATTCTACATATTTCAGACACACGGAGCAGAGCAGGTCCCGGTCACAGAGTGTGGACGCCTCTGAATCCCACGCATGTATATATATCCGTGTGTGCAGAGGTCGCCACAGAGCTCCCAGCTGGTATTCTACAGCCTGTGGATGCTGGCTTCTTATTTATCGCCCGCCGCAGAGGAAGCTGCTCCCCGCGCTGCGACAGCAGCAACACCACCCGGAGGCTCGCTTCCTCTTTGACTGCGTCAGAGCGGCCGGCCATCGGCCCTCAGCTCTCAGCTGACACATCACCTCCACATCACTTCCACCCTCGTTGCAGTTTCCATGGTGATTAGTCAGACCGGGCTGGGTGAGTTGCTGCCAACCCTCCCCCTCCTCCCCCATCGCTACGATGCGCACCTACAAGCACGCAGGGGAGTGGGCGGCAGTGTGTTGATTCAATGAAAGGGAAGTGATCCAGCTGTCACGGTATGTATATGTGACTCAGAGCCGTGTGTTATTCTGGAGGGCTCATTGCTCTTCTTCTACTCTCACACCCGCTGACCCCCGCCCCCCCTCTTCTACCAGGATATAGTAGTTTAGTATATGTCATACATTTCAAAGAGTTTTTAGCTCCTCCCAAAGGAGACTAACATCACAGGAGTGGGGGGAAAAGCTACTCTATGTGCCCCCCCCCATCCACCCAACAGCTATACATCGTTCTTATACTAACGGCACAGAGGGGGAGGGTGGGGGTAGTACGAGAGGAGGCGGATGTGTGTGGATGGATGAGAGGTGGGAAACAGGAGCGCGGCAGTGCAGCGCCGCTCAGCAATTTGTTGAGAGGCTCATTTTTCTTGTGTTTCACCCCCCCCCTGCCCCCCCGTCCCTCCCCTTTGGTTCAGGCAGGGTTAGTAGAGCAGCGCATTTAGCCACGTTACCCTTCGAGTCAGGCTAAAAGGGAGACAAATTAGAGGGGGGCGATTGTACAATTGCTCATTGTCGTCACAAGATCCAGAGTCATCGCACAAGAGTCTGTTAATGAGCTCTGGCTCTTCATTCTCTTCTTCTTTTGTTTGTCATTCACCTCCTGTTCCATTCAGCTGTCTCTCGCTTGAATCCCATCTTTCTTTCTCCTTCCGCTTCCCTTTTCTTCTTGTTTTCCCTAATTTACTTTTTTACCTCCATTTTCTTCATATCTTTCAATTTTTCCTTTTTATTGATTTCATTCATTCTGTAATAGTCCATACCCTTATCCTTTATTTCATATGTTTCTATTTTCAGTACTCAACCTATTTTTCTTCCACGCTTATAGTTTTTTCTTCTTCTTCTATTCCCTTTTTCATCTTTTACTTCTGTCTTTTCTTCTTACCTTTCTTTGTTTTTCTCCTTCTTTTTTTTGTTCTAGTTTTGCCTCCTTAGTATTTTTTTCCTAATCTAGCCTTTCGCTTTCTTTCCGGTCTTTCTTCCCAAACGCCGTCACTTCCTCACAGCCATCACTGGGAAGGCAACAGATAAAAAGTCGCAGTTTCCTTGTTTTGATGACATGTCACTGTTGACACTCACACGCAGTCTAAACACACTCACCTGTCTCGCTTGTGTTTCTTTCCACTCTTTTTCTTCTTCTCTCTGTGGGCAGGTGAGGAGCTGCCAAACCTTTTAGAATGGCAGAAGAAAAGAATTTGCACACAGTGACAAAAATGCAAAACGAGGCTCAGATCGCTGCTGACTTTTATCTTTTCATCACACGTGAGGCGATGACGGTTAGTAAAGGTGACATCTGCTATTGCAGCACGTGATGGCTCCTTTGCAATATTTCAACCAAAATAATTGGAATTCCACTTATTGTAACCACGGTGTAATTACTCTGTCAAAGAGACAGGGAAAATCAGTGGAAGTTGTTCCTACTCACCGACTCCTACGGTGGCCAGATTTCTTCTTCTTCCTTTTCTTTGGACGAGGGGATGGAGAGCTGCTCGACTTCCTCTTTACTCTGAATTGGAAAGAGAGTTAAGGGAGATCGAAGCGACATCCAGAGTTAGAGAGGCAGCGATTGCAAGGGACCATAATTATAATCATTTTCAGAAGAAATGTATTTTTAATAATTTGCTGTCATGAAAGTGTCTATTTCTTCTATTCATCATGCAATGACTTGCAACAGTGGTATATATTGAAACAGGAAATTGCTTCAATTATCTTTGAATTATTTCCTGTGGGAAGGTGTGTTTATGTCTCAATACATGTTGATATTGTAGTGAGAGCTTTTTCCAGTTCCATGTTTGTGGATATTATCTTGGGAAGACCCAGATGCCGTGTGCAGGAGCAAATAGGTGACTAATTTAACTCAACAATCTAGTGGTCAAAGCTGGGCGACACATCCCCCTCATACAGTCTGTGGTGTGTTTAAGCATGTGCTTTACCGGTCGTCACTGTGGTAATCATGGTCATAGCCCCCCTCTTCATAACCAACCAGTTCGGGGTTCCCTTCATACTCGTCATGCTGATAGTGCAGGTGGTCGACCCTGAAAATACAAGAGTCAACAATCATTAATGTGGAGAGCATGTCTCTTGTGTGTATGGAGTGGACAAAGGCAAACTGGCAAAATCTATTTCCAAAAAACGTCATTAGAGGTAATGTACTGACATATTCTACAGCCATTAAGCAGCTCTGTGAGGATTAAATTAGCACACCTCTGGGCTGAATGCTAATGGCATGATAACATTCTCACAATTACAACCCTAAGATGTAAATGTTCAACAGATAGTAGTAGTTGGTTTGGTGTTAGCATGCTACACTGGTTGTGCTATCCATACAGTATTTAATCCATGTTTTTAAACTATGTAATGGAGCTGCCGATGAGGAGGTAAAAATAGACAGTATTAATCACATTCATCCTAAATATGACCAATGAGAACCAGATTTTATTTTGAACCAAAATATATGTAGACTTTGATGTTGAGATATTTCACTTTAAAACTATAAATGCAAACCTGTTGGTGGGCTCATCCCCTGGGGACAATGCATGTCTGTAGCCGATATCATGAAGCTCCATCACATAGTAGTGATGTGATGACCACACCACATAGAGCAGCGCAGCGTGTCCCTACCAATCTGCTTAATAAAACCATCATCTTGCAGCTCAGCTTGAGCAATTCATATATTTCAACTTGTTCCACACTCACACTATATCGTAAATACGCACAGATGGTGGCAGCCTCATCACTAATCCTCCACTAACCCCCCCAAAACCCCCCAGCCTTCCTTTCTCTCTTATGTGGCCTCATGTGAATCACCAGCTTTGACCTTGCAAGTTTCATGTGGGCTAAAGGAAAATATAAAGAACACACACCCCACTGATTATACTTCCCCCCATGTAGACCTATGGGTCTGACCTTCTCACGTCCCAGCGTTGTTACAAACCCAGCGAGTCACGCGCTGGGTTTTCTGCTACTTTTTATACAGGGATAGAAAGAAAGGATGGCTGGGAAGGACTACAGTGCATGCTACTGGTTATTAGATGTATTTATATTTTGTGTTTGCGTGTGTGTTCCTTGCAAGGGCGGGACCTCAACCTAATTGCATTTCATCATCAACATCTGCCCAGTCTACCCAGCTGCTTTCCATCAGATCACTCCACAGCATATCTACCCCGGTCTTTCATCCACTCCTCGGCAGATCGCTGTAAACGCTGAGTGTTACAAACATTATTCTTGGAGATGTATTAAATTTTTAGTTTATTTTGACTTTGTCTCAGCTATTTACGTGTGTCTTGACTTCATCGGATCATCCTCCCGGTTCTCCCCCCCCTCCGCCTGTCCTGCTCCGCCTCGTCCAGTCTCCCAACGTCACCCCTCTGTCCTCGGCTCCCCCACCACTAATTATATCTTCCGATCTTGTCTTTTTTGGGCTGTTAAAAAGCCGCTCTGCCTCACTCCCCCGGTCTCTTTTTGGGATTTGGGTCCGCCACCACACCTCGTAACAACCAGTATGAAAGTGTTGAAGACAAAGACGTAACCTGGACGACTAACCATGCAGCCTCAATGAGTAAGAGAGATGAAAACAGGCAGGAGTAATAAGATGAAGACAAGTGACACATGGAACAAAGTTTGTCAAAGCAAAGGGCAGTGCATCTCTAGTACGGATCAAACACACACGCAGGAGATCAAGAGAGGAGGGCCGCCACAGTTGTCTCCAGGAGGAGAGCGTGTGGAGGATTTGAACGGTGCACAAGCCCGACTGTTAGTTAGAAGGAGATGAGGCAACAAAGCCCTTAATTGGCTGAGCACCGTCGGGCACAGCAGGGATACCAAGCGAAGGCGAAACCTCGCTCCACTATCAAGGTGCTTTACTTACACTGGTAGGTGTACACACACACACACACACACACACACACACACACACACACACAAGCACATACTGCAACATTCTGATGTATAAACTTGCAATGCAACAATTGTGTTGAAAAAGTGTTGATTTGAACGTTATACTGGTAAATATTGTTGTTGAACACTCCCTTTAAGCAGAATATTAATCCGGCTATTCAAGCTGACTTTCTTTGGTTTTACATTGCTGTAGCCTGAAAGGAGGAATGCACACAATACTAATATACTCAAAATGTCATCTTTTTTCATTCGTTTTACAACAGCCTATGAAAATGTGCTACAATTACGCACAAGAACTAGATGCACTGTGATTTTAGTGTTTGTAATGAAATGCTAATTTACAACACTTATCCATAGGAGGCTTGTATGGAAGTAAAGGGAAGCGTTCTAGTTAGTTCTGCTAGTACAGCCGACAGAACGGGGTCTTTAAAACATCATTAATAAACAGGTAAGTAAGGATGAAGCACAATGGATGAAGAATGAAGCACAATGCCAAGAAGAGCAATTAAAAACACTGAATGAAATGAATGAATGAATTCGCTATGCTTAATAGTTAAGAGACGAATGAACTACCTTCCCATCCCTTAATTGATGAGGAATGACATCTGTCCCGCCTGGTCGTGAGCACGTGGGTCGCTGTTAGGCAGATAAGTCAGTGTCTCTGTCCCTAATGGATGCCCGAAGAAGAGACTGGCTCACAGATTCAGCCGCTGTCCCTGGGAAGCCCTCTCCCCTCACCCGCAGGGCTGCAGCCCATTCACATCCCCACTTAGACCGCCACTCTGCCTCCAAAGGCCGGGATAGAGCCGCTGCAGAGAGTTATTTTTTGTTATTCTGGTAGAGGGGGGTAAAGGTCGATGTGTGTGTGTGTGTGTGTGTGTGTGTGTGTGTGTGTGTGTGTGTGTGATCGAGGATTGATGGCTCCACAGCGGGAGGGTGGGGGAAAAGCTGGTAGCTGTAGCCTCTTCAAGGTCCTCCTATTGGGATGGAATGACTTGGCTGGAGGTTTAAGTTGCGCTGATCAATTCTGTGTGGATCTGGCTGCTTACAGTCAAACGCTGGATCCATTTTTTTCTCCTTGAACAGAAACGTCGGCCGCGGGAATTAGCGAGGCCCAGGGTCCGATTCTCCCATCGAGCCTGCTCAGCTACTGAATGGCTGCAAGAAGCTCTGAGCGCTGCATTCCTTTTCTCGCCCTTTCCCTTACATCCATTCTGCGAGAGATCAATGTGGGACATCTGAAAACAGTTATGAGCTAGCCCGTCCTGTGTAAGAGTACTAAGCTATTGCTGAGGGGCCTAGTTTCTCATTAGTAATAGCCTCTGTGGAAAAGATGACCTCTGAATAGAACTTCCGAGTTGAGTGGAATCAAACCGACTGAGCCAGCTGTATATTTGAGGCCGTGTTGGAGCCTCATTTCATTTAGCATCTCTAACAGTATGTATATTATCTGAAGCAATATCTACATTTATCTTGTTTGGCTTGAATTTGATAGAGATGTGTACAGTCAGTCACCTAAATGTTCTTTATTCATGCATTTCACATTCACTATCTTTTGAATTTCGGAATATTTAATCTGAGTACCCCACAGCACTAAACACAAAACACAGGTGAGGCAGATGGGAATGCCATTACCTGCCATGTTTTAGTATCATAATCCTAACTAAAGAGTAAATTGGATTTCGATCTTTGGTGAGAGTAGGGTAACAAAAGTTAATATGATTCATTAAGATTCATCCCAGGATTCATCTAAAAGGGGATCTAAAAGTTGTGATGTATTCACTAAACACCCCATGGTGGTGCAGTTGATCATTCTCAAAAGACTGAAAATGTGTAGTTGCATAGCAAAAATATCTCACATGCTCCTAAGCTTCAAACTAATTGTTTGACACATCTTAGCACGCAAGTTGCTTAAAGTTTTGTTTACATTTTATTTAGTTGAGTAGGGTGCACTGCATACAGACACTGGGGGTGCCTCCATATGTCTGTATAAGAGGACATTTAAAACTGCTGGACATGCATCCATTAGTGTTGCTATAAAAAGGAGGAGCCAAAGAAGGCAGTGAAACAAGATGAGATGCAGCATCATCGGAGCATATTGTTGTCTGTTTACCATGGGGACCTAACTAATGTGAGGGTCCGTCAACATATTTCCTTACAATGCTCCTTGTAATAATCCTTATGGCTGTTGACAGAGAGTAGCGGGGAGTGTGTTTGTGTGCGTGTTTTTGTGTGGGTTGTTTGGGGTGGAGGGGGGGGGGGGGTAGGGGTGATAACAACCCTGCAAATTACAACCTTCAATTTTCCACATCAAGGCCTTTCAGGAGATGGAAAGTTGCAGCATTTGTATGTATTGGATTGGATTTGAAATCCACAATTGAGCAGAATAAGTAGTGCCCTTGAGGGTGAATGAACGCGTAAAAAGCAAACCCAAACACAAGCTTTCTGTACCTCCATCGGCGGACTTTCCTCCGGACCACAAATGATTAAATTGAGGTTGTAGCGTTCGCCTAGTTGCGCGTCGGCCTCCTTGTTTCAGCGTGGTCTAGTTAAACGTCAGACGCCGGCTGAGGTGCAGGGGAGGGAGAGCCATTAGTCTAGTCCCGTCTCGCCCCGACGGGGAGCATTGGCGTCATCGGTTCACAGATAGTGGGTCACGTTGCCACCGCAACACTGCCTCTCTCCTTCACTCACAGATACAGCCTGATGGACTGACTCAGGAGACCCCCCCCCCCCCCGCTCCCCCAGCTACATCCTGTGTGTCTGTCCACGATGAGGACGGAGGACGAAACGCGCAATCATTCATTTTTGTTTCATTTACTTCCCTGCATGCTCGAAAACAAATTTACAATCATCGTGCCGATCTCCGCCTCGATGGCTTCCAGCAGAGTTTAGAATGGACTTGAAAAAGCTGCTGCTTATTTTCAAAGCATCGGGGTTTAACCAATTCCTGTGTATTCAGGCTGGCATTATCAGTCAAAAGCAAAGGATTCAAATTAAAATGTGCACTTTTGTAATTACGAAGAGTATTCTTTGGAACCGACAGCTTGAAGACATTATAGTCAGACAAAACACATCACACGTCATATTACACAATGCCACAATCAGCATTATTCTCTCTTTACTACCGCGTCTATGCTGGCGTGCAACGATGTGCCGTGTTCTCCAGACAGCTATTTAGAGATCAAGCACTTTTGTGAACTCACAATCAGTCTTTTTCTTGTCTCTTTCCTGTACTGCACTGCGGGACTTTCCACAATGCAGATGTAGTAGGCTACAAGCTAAACAAGACGGGGAGTTGATTGCTTTATTATGTGTGCAGGATTGCATAAAGCATGACGGATGTTGCAGGTTATTTTTATTTCATGATCCTCACGGAACTTGAAACTTCAAACAAACGGCATTTTCCTCTGGGCCCCCCACCTGCTACTGCATGCACAACCTTCTGAAGAAAATGATGGAATGGACCCTGGTGCATTCCTGACTCAGGTCACATTGAATTGTCACCTCCTGTTTTTTTTTTTTACAATCCTTTTATGGTAAATAGTAAATGGACTGTAGTTGTATAGCGCTTTTCTAGTCTTCCGACCACTCAAAGCGCTTTAACACTACATGACATCATTCACCCATTCACACCCATTAATACACTGATGACAGGAGAACCACACACAGTGACACCTGCCATCAGTAACTAACATCGTAGTCGCAGCTACAGGAGCAATGTTGGGTTAAGTGTCTTGCCCAAGGACACATCGACATGCGGGTTAGCAGAGCCTGGGATCGAACCGACAACCCTCTGATTGGAGGACGACCGTGCGCCCCACTCACCCAAAGTCGCCCATTTATGATGACTTTTGCTTTTTTTCCACTTTTCTTTGGTAGGTGGGTGTTCAATACACAACATATTCTACCAGCTCATGAACATTAACTTACGCTGGTTGTGTGTGTGAGCCTTCTCTGGTGATGACGCCCTCCTTGTCCATCAGCATTTGTCTGAATGTGCTGACTTTCTGTCGAATCTCTTCTTCGGTGTACCTGCGGGTGGACATGGAGACACAGCTGTTAGTTGAGGCCCACACATGCATTCATCCCCTATCTGTAGTCCTCAGCACTTGGCCGGGTAGCTGTGAAGATGATTACGAACGATGAAAAAACTGCAGAACAGGAGTAGCCGCTTTTTTTCTCATTCTGATGACTCACTGCCGACCTCCCGCTCCCCCCAACGCTTGCTTGGATCAAGCCTGGACTGCATGTCATGATTTGTCCTGTAAGCAGAGCTCTAAGTTGAGAGTGACTGTGGTGCAGATGTGAGGGGTTTTCAGCAAGCCGGCAGTACTGGAGTACTGGAGACGTCAGCGGCGGGATATGAAAGTCATTACTGTCTGTGCCACATTGAGGTTATCTCTAGTTTTTTTCATTTATTTTAGATGTATTGCGTCAATCAGTCGGCAAAACGGAAGGACATCAAGAGGGAGGAAAGTTAATAAAGCTGTGAATGTGTTGCCAAGAGGCCGATTGTATTGTTCGTATTAGGTGCCACAACAAAAGCATGTGAGGGGTAGCTGGATTGGATTTAAGCCTAATCAATGTTGCGATAGAGATTTACTCCTTATTCAAAAGTGAATCAGTGATAGTTGCCTACAGGAAGTGTTGTAGCTAATTCTGCAACTTCCTTCAGTTTGTTTGACTGTTTAATCGGTGATAACATCAACACAACAACAAATAAAAGTGTAGAGGAGCTGTCCATCACCCAGTGCTGGAACACAGATTCTCTCTGATTCTCTTAGCTGGAGATCATGGCAGGACCTATTCTATAAACTGCATCGTAAATCAGCCCGGGGCTCATTTCAGCCTGCAAATGTCATTAGTCTGAGGAGTGTTTGCTGGTCTTAGAATAAACATAGCACCCAATACCATGAACCCTGAGTGTGGTGTGATGGGCGCATGGGGGGTGTGGAGAATTAGATTAGTAGAAGTGCAAAGGAGAGACGAAAATAGCTGCAAGATGGCCCAGCGGACAAGAAGCAAGCTGGTGTGACAACAACATTCAGGTCCTGCTGTTCGGCAAACTCAAAGCACAATGGAGGCCATGAACACACATTTTAGATTCATGGCTTTCCGCGCACATCGCAGGAGACCGTCGCAGCACGTTGACAACACAGCAGTCCGAGCGATGCTCTCCGCTGGCTGTAGTGTATTGGGCGAGGGTGTAGAGATAAGAAAGAGCAGAGAATGCGATCTCCCCTCAAACGGTGGGAGCACCAATCTGTGCTGAGGATGGCGAGGACTCTGGAGCCTGCAGGATGCAGTTATCTCTATTGACACTCGAGCTGAAGCGAGGAAAAGAGGGGTCGAAGCTAATGCTCCTGTTGACACAAATGATACCTGAATTCCTCCCCCCCCCCCCTCCGCTCTCTCCGTCCTCCATTGGGTTGCTCCATTCTGAGCTTCTGCACAGCTTCGCAGAATCGAGCGCAGCCAAGGCACTCGACTCTTTCGCTCAGGTTTCTTTTTGAGCGGCCTACCTCACTGAACGAAGCCAGAGGGTTCCGTGCACAGCAGGGCTGCTGCTTCAACAAAGAAAGGGGGGCTTAGAGGCAAGAGCCAAGACAATCCCAAACGGCAGGAACCTGGTGAAAGGGGAGTTACCTGCAGAGATCAAAAATGTATGGACAAAAGAGGCCTGAGAAAAGTTTGTCTTGAGTGATTGCCAAACTCTTTGAGTTGTGTTTTAGTCAAGCACATGACCAGTTTCTGGATGTTTGTCAGTGGCTATTGACATGGGCAACAACTCTTCTGCACACTTAATTATCACTTCTTGCAGCCGTAAAGGTAGCTGCCATCTGCGTTCACAGAGCGGTCACTCAAACGCAAACAAAATGTTGTGTGTGTTTTCGTTTGTGTCTGTGAGACGGGATGTTCAGACAGTCTAGCAAAGCCCAAATGAAAACCATTTAGCCCGGACCCACCACCTACAGCCTGCAAAGTCCCAATGATTTAGGTGGAGAGAGAGTCAGAGGACATCGATCAGAGCGGGCCGCCATCCTTGCCATGACAAATAACCACGATTAAAAAGCTAAATTGGAGCAATTAGACAGCTCTGAGCGCCCACAGCCCCCCCCTCCCCACACACACTCCTCCATTAACCCCCCCAACCCCGAGGATGGATAGTTGTGGCCCGGAGACCATCCTTACGCTGACGGTCATTGGTTTGAGAAGGAGGCCGGGGGTCCCGGTGTGTGCGTACTGCTTCTGACCGGCAGCGATTCGTTTCTACGCTTGATGTCTGAAGAGAAGAACCTCTTCTCTATTTTTTCCACTCAAGTCGTCCTTCTGTGCGCCCATGAAACTCTGCAGCCATCAATCCCGCTGCAAAGAGCGCAGAGGCAAAGTGAGGCCAATGCAGTTAGCGAGATTGAATGGCTGTGGGAACATGGGGAGGCAAGCCCAAACACCCACACGTTGCCATTTCCGGGGCAGAATCAAAACGACACAGTGATCCACAGTACAGAGAAGCAGAGAGGATTTTAAATTGATGCTCTCTACAGTCATATATTTTGTGGTTAGAAAACAGGTACTAGCTAGACCAGACAGAAAGAGGAGCAAACAAAAGAGCACAGCTTTCTCTCACTACATAAAGCCGCCCTTTTCACCCCCCACCCCTCCCCCCCTCCTCACAGAGGAAGCAGATCAATGGTCAGAGCACAACAGTCCGACACCGCCTCGCTTTCCAAATGCTCATCTTCTCGAAAAACAGAATTTATAGCTCTTTCTTTCCCTCGGATTTTCAGTTTATAGGACACAGGCTTATCGCCTTATGACACAGGCTTGCAGGAAAACCTCAACAGAGAGTTATTTATTTACTATTTGCTTAAAGCAACTCTTAAGAATAAGATCCAAGCTAGGCACATCTCTTGCAATTCAAACAGTGTCACTGCAGATTTTATTAATCAATTCCCGAGCAGCGAAGAGCCACGATGCAGCAATTTAGCCGCTGACTCAAACCCCCCTTTTCCTTCCCGTCTCACTTCCATCTTGACATTGATTTCTGGTGTACCATTAAGTACACAAAAAAGGCAAATTCAGAAATACATCAACGTGGCTTTTTTCATAATACACACATGTGTGTCTAATCTGTTTACTTTGTGAAGCAGGAGGAGCATCTTGTATCTACTGACACTGAGTTGCAGAGATGCCCGGGGTCCATGTGTTTAAAGGGCGTCCCACGTAGCCTGCCGATTGGAGTGAGTTAAGAGAGCTCATTAGAGAGCCGGGAGAAGTCGAAGACGCCACAGGAATTGAGATTGTGCACCATCCTTGCGCCTCGATTACCGCCGAAAAACACCACTGGAAGAGAATGTGGACCCTTGCATGCAAAGCGGCCCTTGAGCTGTGTGAACAGTGTTTTTGTATCGTAGCCAACCTTGCTGTAGTAACTTGGCCTTTGCTGACACCATCTCCTCCAAGAGGCACTCTGACAGATAAAATGTATCGGACCGACAGTGCATCTAATATACTTAAAAGGGCTCTGCAGCGGCGGAGCACTCAGATGACTCGGGGGACGTTACCAGGCGTCGGATAGCTAAATGAATAGACTTCTTTAATTGCTCAGCCCGTCTAATTGGCTCTCGGGGTGAGGCCATCACTCATGACGTACTATTTACCCGGGTCTTATCTCTGGCGAAGGGCCCGGACGGTTTGGGTCGGGGGGGTTGGGTGTAAAGAGAGGAGGGGCGTGTCTGCCATGCTGTCAGGGTTAGAGAAGGAGGCAGGTTCCCAATCTACCCCCCCCCGGCATAATCCTTCACACAGGCGTCAGTCAGGACGGGGGCCGGGGGCAACGAAGACTCTGAGCATGCTGGCTTCTACCCACAACAAATGAAAATAGACCCCAGCCACCATTTTAATTGTGTTTAATGTCTGGCATCGCTCTGCCCCCCCCCCCCCCCCACACAGTGTATTCCCGCTCTATCCTTCTTAATCCTGCACACATGCACTCACACGCTCAAATTCAAAGAGGAACATTACAAATTGGAGAGGCGTGGGGAGCTACACCGAGCCAAGTCGGCAAAATGAGATTCTCCTTTTATTACAGCTTAACGAGATGAGTCGAGGCCGTCCAGAGCTCGAACACTCACAAGCTCCGTGGCTGCCGCTTGACGAGTGTGTGCGTCTGGTCAGCGCGGGTGTCTGGTCTCCTTGTGTTCTGCCTCATTAGTGAAGCGGCTGCCTGCCACCACACTGTTCCACAAGACATCATGACTCTTTTGCACCGCTCTCAAACTACGCCTACTCCAAGTGGAGTTTTGATAGATAGCCGCTGTTCAACTGTCTGACAAGCACAGTCCAGCTCAGAGAAGGAGGGATGGGTGGAAGAATTAGTGCAAGAAAGCTCTAATTCATCTCCACCTTCTCAAGGTGCATTTGTTTAAACAGAAAGACATTTGAAAAAACGCCCGTCACACATACTGGAATTCAACTGGCCTTGACCCCCACTTGCCTTGCATTCAATTAAATCCCCCTCCATTCATATATATAAGGAACTAGACGGCTTACCACAAATGACAAATGTGATGCAATTAAAATGTCAGGTATTACAGTGAAAGTGAAATTTCTCCTTACCGACGCAGAATCACAAAGATTGCCATTAATAACAACTCAGCTCGCCTGAAGTTTAACTGAGAGCTGTGGTTATTAAAGTAGCATCCCTACATCTCTTCCAGAATCGACTGATCTTTCCATCCTGAATAAACTCCAGTACGTCCACACCTCTGCTGCTCGCTCGCTCACCCACTCTCGCTCCCGGGATCACCCCTGTTCTCCAGAACCTTCACTGCCTTCTGCACAGCTGTCCCCTCCCTCTGGCTCTCCCTCCCCCAAACACATGCGAGACTACAACGAGTGACATATGGTTCCATGGTCTAAATATTTAGGCTTATCTGTCTTCTTCCGCACTAGAACAGTGTCAAGGACGGGGCCGTTCACCGGCTTGCTGATTGTGAACATTGCTAATTATCTTAAATGGGGCAGCTGGCCAAGCAGGAAGCCAAAATGGTCCCTGTAGAGTCCTTCAGCTAATATGGAACACTTTCTGACTCCAAGAGACAGTTTCCTCCTGGATCAGAGCATCCCTTCACCTGACAAGCCTGGTATGTGGCAGACTAGATTCCTCCGCAAAATGCTCATCATGGACGTATCACACACACGTATAAGGAGAATGTAAAATATGCTAAGAATTGCCATATCGACAAAAACTATGCTATGCAGCATTTCCTGACAAAAACAAAGCCCCTTATGTTTAATGCAGTCGCCTGCAGGGACTTTTTCTCTTATTCTTCCTAATTGGGATAGAAATGACTTTTGGCAGGTTGCAGATTTTAAATGTAATGTTTTGGGGCGGTGTGTGAGCTCAGCACCCCTACAGGTACACAGCTGTCCATGTCAAGTGCTCAACCCCACAGAGAAAGCTTTCATGGTTTTGCAACCAGCTCCATAATAAACAGATTGTACAGGAAAGATAAACAACTACTGTTTCACTAGAAATGTTACTGTCCCTTGACATCAAAGCAGCGTTGTGACTGCAAAGCCTGTAATTGCTTGCTTGGTTTTAATGCCCAAAGATAGTGGGTTTCCTGCAAGAAAATGTTACTATTCTTTATTATAATCATGACTGACTGACTTGACTGCACATACTGGTCATCGAGTACTTGTTTCAACTCAATGATCCACCTGTGAGAATTTATCATTACCAAAATCAATGCCCCCCAAATTGTTACGTAACACCAACGCTTCCGCACTTTTTCAGGGAAAGTAATAAGAAAGTAATAATTAGGTGGGCAATATTATACGTGCAGCTGATGAAGCTGCGTGAAGCCCCCTGAGCATTTTCCTTACAACAGTTTGTGATCATTTGTTAAAAATGCTGCTTTGATTGCTCGTCTTCGTATATCATTTAGGCACCTTTTACCTAAAACAAATCATGTATCTATTTCCATTATCCTCTCTGGTACCAAAATCAAAGTGGACCACTTAGTTGCTAAATGCTCCACTATGTTCACCAGCTGCTTGCTGACTGCGTGTGTCTGCTGCTTTTAGAGCTGTTCTGAAAATGACACCACGAGAGCTGAGGAAGTTTAAATGTAAATACCAGACAGCTAAAACAAAGCGAGAGTCGCTGTGAGGCTCCATAAAGCCGAGTGGAGCTGCTGATTCATGTGACAACAGCGTGTAGGCTCATTACGAGCAGGGACCCACGTCACATAACCATTTGTTACAAGGTTGTTAGGACCATAACGTCGAGGCCTATGGTGTTCATGTACTTACCCCTGCTCCTCCATCATCTCCTGGAGCTCCATACATTTCAGCTCCACCCTCCTTTTCCTCTCATGGTCAAGAATCTCCCTGTGTGGCTTTTTCAGCAGGACTGGCTCTGCCTCGGGCTCCTCCTCCTCATTATCCTCCTCCTCCTCCTCCTCGGTACCTGGCTGTCCCCCCTCAGCTTTAGCCTGTAGCAGTGCGGTCGGCGTCAGCCCAGCTGATCCTGCAGCTGTTCCTGCTCCTGCTCCGGGGACCGCGGCCTGGGCCATCCCGTTAGCGCCATCCTTAGGAGACGGCACTCGCGCCGCGTCGTACATGGTTCCTGCGCTCTGTGGAGACAAAGGCGGTGGCGAGTAACAGTCAGAGGAGCACTGGGTAGTTTTATTTTATGTTCATAAATTGGAGCGTAATCGCTTCAAGAACTCATCTCAGAGGATTTTTTAATGTGTAACTGGATTATGCTTTTCTGACAAACAGGGCAGAGAGTGAGTACCTGCACTTCACATGGCATACGTCTAGTAGGATGTCCTGTAAAACTGACATCGTCTTCCCTGCTGGAGCCTGCTGAAGGCTCTTTTACGGCTCCAGAAGCACAGTAACCCAGAAAAACTGCACACTAATATCTAGCTTGGTTGCCATGCGGGTTGCCATTGTAAACCATTTTGCAACAAATTCTTACCCTTATAAGTGTCAGCAAGCAGCAAAATATGAACCTAAAATGGATCATATTTGCTGCGGTTTTTATTTTTTTAATATTACTGTTACAGTTACAACCCAAACCACGCAACATCTGTTTGAAGAGAGAATGGCGATGCAAATTAAGTGGTTTGTGGAGGAATTGTTTTTTAATAAAACAATGAATTCAACTGACAACTGACAACCTGCACTAAAACTGCAAAATGTCTTAATCATTCACAATACAAGCTGACTAAAAATGACAACCATTTGTTCAGTTTCGGCAGCCCAAAAGCTGTCAGCCCGGCAACCACACTTGAAAGTTAATGTTGTGCGAAATGTAACACTGAAAGGTGAGCTGGGATGTTAATACCTCTGGACAGGCTGCAGCGTTTCTGCCAGAAATGAGCAGCACAAACATTCAACATACTGCACACACACACACACACACACACGCACTTGCATGCATGCATTGCCATTGACAGTGGCTTCATCGTCATGACACAGCGGCCCGGTGGTGCCTCAAACGCGGACGGCGCGGGGAGGGCAGTATGCAGGACTAAGGACACAGCGACAGTGACAGATTTGTAGCAACGAAACAGCAGACAGCGACATTGTACAAAGTATTGATGCAACTTTTGTGTTCAGTATTTATGACACCATTGCATCAATACTGAATGCGTTCTTTATTTTTGACTCACTCGACCTTTCCGTTTGGGGCTCTTTCTCTGTTAAAAGGATGAGGTTGGCATTTTGGTGAATGAAAAATAAAACACTGTCTGGTACAAGTGCTGCATAGAATGATCATGATGGATTGTCCTGTTCGGGCCGCTGTAGAACATGCAGGAGGAGTAAAAGGCATTCGCGTACCCACGAGCCTCGGCAGCCCGACACTCTGCCTTCTCCCTCAGCAACTAATGGCTTCATTTTTCACAGAGGAGCCCAAAAAAAAGCTTGGCCGAGGCACTTCATCACTGTCACACAAAACGTAGACGTAGCAGACGGCACGACAACGAGGCCGGACAGACGGACCTCCAGATCTACAGTCGCGTCTCATCCCGACTCATTTCGTCCTAATCACAGGGACTCCTGTGCCCCCCTCCCCGAAGAAAGGGTTTGACTGGTTAATAGAGATGTGGTTGTTTGTAAAGTGCCCAGCGCTGCTAAACGAGCCGTGCATGTGTGTGCTCGGCTGACAGAGCAGGTGGGGGGACAGCAGGAGGCCTCGTTGCTGAATCTATTATACAGTAAATCAGCACTTGATATTCCAAGACAAGTCATCACTCATCTGCACGTGCTCGCCACAAGTCCGTGGAATATTCTACCTCTGTAACCCTGGACAGAGTTCAAGATGACATTCAGGTAGACAGAGAAGGCCTTCTGCATTGGATCAGATAGACGTCAAGTACAACAGCCTTGTTTTCCGCTAATGGCAATGTAAGAAAACCAGGCGGTCAGTGGCTCTGGAAGCTTAAGGAGCTTACTTCCCAGGAGGGGAGGGAGTGAAATTCCCTGCAAAGCCAGATGTGGGAGTCAAAAGCTGCGCACCAAGCGCTGCGTCTGTATTAAACCGTGCTGTAAATATCGAGCCATCTCATTACACAAATGCATCATTCCGCAGTCCCTCCTTCTGTGGGCGTAGCGGAATAATCTATTCCTTTTCAAATTAAGACATCTAAATTGTTTAACTGTGCAATAAAAAAAATGGAAAAAAAATCGGAACAGAAAGGGAGACTTGTCAATGAGCTGATGAGGTGGCGGAGCGCACAATTAATTGTGCGCGAGTCCTCTGCAGGGACTGACGGTTATCTGGAACTGCTGTAATAATGGCGGCACCTCCCTCCTCTGCTGTGATTGCGAGGGCGTACAGCACTGTCATTTCCTTACAAACACTGCTTGTAATTAGTCATTATGCAAAGTGAAGTTGTTAAGCCGCAAATGGACACCATTTCCAATCCCGAGGAGATAATGTGCACTTCAACATTCAACATTGTACTTCTGATTGCTCTGAAATAAAAGAGCGATTAGCTCGTGCTTTTTCTCTCCGTCAGGCGGAGGAAGCTGTCTCCTGTTCTTAACCCCTGCCGCTGGTTCCTGGATGGGATGCTGCTGGCGTGGAGTAGTGTGGAGTGTTGCCGCTGCAGAGCGCAAACCTCACACAGCAAAACAAGCCTGAGGACGGAGGACAAGCACTGTGGAAATGTTGAGTGGTGACTTTAATTTCCATGCAAGTGTCATGGTCTGATGACACGGTAACCCGCGCCGGTTGGACTCATCTGATTTACAGTGGAGGGGTTTCATACTTTAAGCTCAATTAATAGGGACAACATTCACCGCGGCCACACAGTGAAAAAACATCTTTCTCTCATTAGCGATCTAATGTCGCATTAGGCTAATGAGACATCCGAGGGGATTGTCTGGACTTGAGCCCCACATTAATTATGATGATTTTATTATCTTTTTTTTGGAGGATTGAATCTGAAAACATTAGTGAGGTGTAAATGCCATAGTTTGAGCCATAAAATCACTTAGGGTATTTAATGGATGGATTACCTGTTTACAGTCTGAACGATTAGAAGTTCATTCACATACAGAATTGCCCTCAGAAGCTCCCAAAGTAGGAGGATAATCTAGGATGTTCTGTTTCCTGACACTGAAATACAGACCCTTTTGTTGAGTCCATATTAATGACATCTGACTGGAGGAGAACATTGGCTCAGCTTCTGATATTCAAAGTATATTATGATAATAATTATTCACCAGTATATACCAGGGTTGGGATTTCTATTTGCAAGTTTCTACAAAGTTGGATTTACTTGTGGGGAAAATATAAACGTGGCGGTCAGATATAAAATACAGCATTTTTGTCAAACCGATTACCAGATGAAACATTAATGTTAGCATCAACACATACCCATAAAAGTAATGGCAATCATTGTCAATTGGCCCAACCCTCCGCTGCTGCTCCACCGGGCTGTCAGCGCTACTATGGAGTTAAACACGCTCCGTGAAGAAATATGACCTCATTTTTGGAAAAGCAATTTCAGAGAAAAGTCATCTCTTCAAAATGTAAGGGACGGAGCAACTTCTTCCTGGGAAGCCAGATCAATCACTAATGTTATTTGGTGTTTGATTATAAGGCTCGGTATGATTGGCCAGTCTACGCTAGAGGGGGCGGTTTTGGTAATTTGGTACTCAGTTCTTCATTAGCCCCATCAGAGCAGGAAGAAAATGTGCATCTGGTTCTTTACAGCATGTTTACTGTGTCCGAATCTATGAGGATAGTGCAGTTTTCGGACTCTTTCAGTACAGAATATATGAGCGGCCATCTGTCCATTTAGTCTGTAAGGCGCTGTAAACCTAAATGCTGCACATACAAGAGTCAACAGATTATGTGTTTTCTTCGGCAGCAAATGTCTGAATTCATGACTGCAGGTTGTGGATGACTGCAGTCGGCACTTGAATGTAAGCAGGAAGATTAGATTATGTTCAAAGGTCGGTGGCAGAAAGCTTCTCAGTGTGGCCCAAACATCCATCGTTCATTCATTTTTTATTCATGGAGCTTTACATATGTGTGTTCTCCCCCAGAAATAAGAAGATGCTGCCGTCAAAAACTATATTTATATATTATTATTTTTGATTACCTGGAGATGTGTATTTAGTGGATACATTTAAATATTCTGCTTCAATTGTTGTATTTCATCAGACACAAAAAAGGGACAAAAAACATGATTTTGGAATAATATATTGTGCGTGAGCTGCACCGCTCTCTGAAAAAAGCCACATGGGTTCATCACTATTTTCAGCCAATATTGATCTGAGCAAGATCCAAAAGTGACCCAACATCAATACTGAAGATACAGTACTTCACTCCTGCTGCCCATTGCAACAATCCACCATCATCAAAAGACTAATTGTTGATCCATCTCATCATATCCTCTCCTCTTACAATCAAGTCTGATTAAAATCTATAGCTGCATTAATGGTGCTGCCTTTGCAATTAAGAGTGGAATAACACGCAGACAACAGACAGACAACAGCATTTACTGTAGAGTAACAAGCTGAGGACTGGTCCATTTGTAGCCACTCTCCCTGCTAAGAGCCCACTCCTCATGCTAGGTCACTCTTTGTCGTGAACAGAGGCTCCGATGATTGGATCTCCCTCAGTGGTGGCTGCTCCTCAACCGTGATTGCAGGGTGGTGGTAACAGAAGCTGGAAGAAACATCCTGGGTGGATATCTCCCAAAACACAACAACGGCCAATCCAAATCGAAGGCAACCCGAACATATTTGTGTGAATGTGTTGAAAAGGAAGACTTTCTCCCAAACGACCTTCGCTAAAGATCCCCCGCCTCCCTCTGTCTCCCCCCCCTCTCTTTCCGTAACACCTTTCCTCCACAATAATTTCCCCCTTGGCTGGAAGCTTGTGTTTTGTTTGGAGCACTTTGGCACCCTGAAGGAGGTGTTTCAAGGTCAGCTGTGTCTTCATTCGGGGCACGTTGGATGGCTGTTGGGGAAGAAGCAACTTGTCTTTTTATTTATCTATCTTTTTTAAAGTTGTATAAAGGGGGAATCCAGAACTCGGGAGAGGAGGTGTGAGGAATGGTAATAGAGAAGCAGGAAGGAACAATCATACACAGTGGCCTTGCTTGAAC